GAGCGGCGGGCGAAACCCAAACTGGCCAGCGCGTGGGTCCCGCCCGCGACATGGTGACCTCCCCCTCCCACCTCCTTGTCCGGCCACTACACACCATCCCGCATCAGCTGGGAGCCGGAGCAGAACATCGCACGGAGCCAGCAGGAGCAGTTCCTGCACAGCTGGGGGCTAGCTCAGACCACAGGCCACAAAGCCCCCCTGGCCCGTCACCGGCTCTGCCCTCTGCTCAGCTGCAAGGCGGGCAGTGTGGAACTCGACGTGAGGCACAAACACATCCAGTACTTCAGGGCTCTCCCCACCCTGTACGCGGAGTCCCTGGCCAAGATGGAGCCCGGCCCGCCCATGCCACACGCCCCCCTGCTGCCCCACGGCACGGCCATCGAGTTCTGCCCCGTGGAGACTCCCTTCGTAGCCCCTGAGGGCCGGGAGCTGCTGGAGAGGCATGTCCTGAGGAAGCGGCTGCAGCACGAATGGGGCCTGCCAGGCCTGGTGCGGCGATCACTGAGGTGTTTCATGCCACCCCCGCCCACACGCCCCAGGCCCAAGGGGAGAGTCCGGCTGGCAGCCATGGAGCTCCGTGTCAGCAGCGGGGCCCCTCCCATCCCTCTGGCCACCAAGAGGGATCTTGAAGCCCACATCCGGCGGAGGGTGGCCGAGAGGAGGTGGGGGCTCCCCAGGAGGGTGCGGGAGTCCCTGCGGGGCTTCATGCCCCCCACGACCGCAGCTCCGGGGACACATCCAGACACGCGAGGCAGAAGGGCCAGCCAACCTCTCTGGGAGCTGTCAGCGAGAAGGGCTCCAAGGGAATCACCCTCCAGGGGGGCACCCGTGGGCCCCGCAGCGGTGGCTGTCTCCTTAGCCGGGCCCATGGGAACCGCGTGGAGCCAGCAGCTCAGCCGGGACACGTGCCACCAGCTGCTGGAGAGACATGTGACCAGGAAAAACATAGAGATCCGCCTGGGCCTGATCCCCCGCAGGGCCCAACACTCGCAGGAAGCCGCCCGCCAGGCGGGAAAGCTCCCCTTGCCCAGGCTGATTCGGCCGGGCCAGAGATCCCTGGAGCAGCGGCCCCGGGAGCTGTTCTTCCTGGAGCAGGCGACGTCGGATCACCTGGAGCTCAACCTTCTCCACAAGCACCTGAGCTTCAGGTGGGGGCTGCCCACGCTCTACCGACAGTCCCTGGCCAAGCTGTTCCACGCAGGCCCCTCGTCCGCCCTGCTGCCCTCCAGCTCCCGCGCAGCTGGGACCGAGTTCACGGCGCAGGAGCTGCCCTTCCTCCCACCGGGAGCCCGGGAGGAGCTGGAGCTGCACGTCAGGACGAAGAGGCTGCAGCACGAGTGGGGGCTGCCTCTCATCGTCCAGAAATCCATGCGGGGCCTGATGGCGGCTCCCCCCCGCCCCGGCCAGCCCAAGGCCCCTCCGCCGGCCGACGGGGACGTGGCCGTTATCCAGGCCGAGCTGTCCTTCCTCAGCGAGGGCAGCAGACGAGAGCTGGAGCTCAGCCTCCGCAAGAGACTCATGCAGCGGCGCTGGGGGCTGCCCAGGAGGATCCAGGAGTCGGTGCGGCTGCTCCAACCTACCTCAGCGCGCGCGGAGCTTGAGCCACACGGCCCCGCGGAAAAGGATGCAGAGGGGCCTTTCCTGCTGCCCTGGCACAAGAGCACCGTGCACCTGGAGCGGGGAGTGGGGAAAGCCAGGAGAGTGGTCGCTGCTCCCCGCCCGCGGCTCAGCCTGGGACGTGATGCTCAGGAGCGGCTGCAGCTCCACGTGACAAAGAAATGTGTGGAGACCCGGCTGGGGGCCATCCCCGCTGCAGTGAGACGCTCCTGCGAAAGGCTGCATCTTGTGTCCCGGCTGCCCCTCCCCAAGCTGATCCCTGCTGGGGACAGGGCCCTGAAAGCCAGGAACCCCCTGCTTCCCTTCGTGCACCCGGAGGACATCTGCCACCTAGAGCTGAATGTGCAGCACAAACATCTCACGGCCCTGTGGGGCCTGGGCACTATCTACACCCAGTCCCTCAGCAGGATGGTTCCCAGGGCGCCCCGTGCGCCGGTTCCACCCCATGAGCCTGAAGTCGAGTTCCGGGTGCGGGAGGCTCTGTTCCTGGGCCCGGAGGCCAGAGAGGTCCTGGAGCTGCACGTCAGGAAGAAAAGGCTGCAGCACGAGTGGGGGCTGCCTCTCATCGTCCAGAAATCCATGCGGGGCCTAATGGCGGCTCCCCCCCGCCCCGGCCAGCCCAAGGCCCCTCCGCCGGCCGACGGGGACGTGACCTTTCTCCAGGCCGAGCTGTCCTTCCTCAGCGAGGGCAGCAGACGAGAGCTGGAGCTCAGCCTCCGCAAGAGACTCATGCACCGGCGCTGGGGGCTGCCCAGGAGGATCCAGGAGTCGGTGCGGCTGCTCCAACCTACTTCAGCGCGCGCGGAGCTTGAGCCCCACGGCCCTGCGGAAAAGGATGCAGAGGGACCTTTCCTGCTGCCCTGGCACAAGAGCACCGTGCACCTGGAGCGGAGCGTGGGGAAAGCCAGGAGAGTGGTCGCTGCTCCCGGCCCGCGGCTCAGCCTGGGACGTGATGCTCAGGAGCGGCTGCAGCTCCACGTGGCAAAGAAATGTGTGGAGACCCGGCTGGGGGCCATCCCCGCTGCAGTGAGACGCTCCTGGCAAAGGCTGCATCTCGTGTCCCGGCTGCCCCTCCCCAAGCTGATCCCTGCTGGGGACAGGGCCCCGAAAGCCAGGAACCCCCTGCTTCCCTTCGTACACCCGGAGGACGTCTG